GTACTTATGGCCCTTGTACAGACATTGGTGGAGATAGGCAATAGGGGTGATAATTCACCTACTACATTGAAAACAATTAAGGATATCTTAATTAAAAATCTAAAATAATGGATCTAGGTCCCGTACAGACAAAGTTACGTATTGCTCAGTATAACATTCAAAGTGCAAATAGTAAAAAACCCTTGCTCATTCAATTCTTGCAACAACAAAACATTGATATATGCCTACTTAACGAAACTTGGTTCAAAGATAACAAATTTAAAATACCAGGTTACAATATTTATAATAAAAATTCAAACAATAGTCATAATGGTGTGGCAATTTTGATTAAGTCATATCTCAAGTACAATATTATTAACACTAGATTCTATGAGGACATTCAAACTGCTGCTTTATCTTTATCAACGGTAAGTGGTAATTTGACTGTTCTTTGTGTTTATTGTCCACCTACTAGTCGTCATATCAGATTAAATAGATTACATAATATAATTAATAATCTTCCAAAACCAATATTTGTAAGTGGTGACTTTAATGCTCATCATATAGCATTTGGTTGTTTATCTTCTAAGAGTCGAGGCCATAGCTTATTAAATATTATTGACAACTTAGATTTATGCATTTTAAATGATGGTAGATTTACAACAGTCAACCATCCCAGACAAAACCCTTCTGCTATTGATATTAGCTTCATCAGTGCTAGTCTTGCATCAATGTGTGAGTGGTCTGTTCATGACAATGCCATGGGAAGCTATCATTTCCCTACAATAACAGAAATAGCCTTAACTATTGATAAATATTACATTGGTTCACCAGTAGACAGATTTTTATATAAAAAGGCAAATTGGACGAAATACAACACTCTTTCCCACAAAGTTTTCAATAATTTTACCCTAAATTCAAATGACCCTATATTAACATATAATACTTTCTGCTCTAGTTTGGATACATTAAAAAATATGACAATTCCTAAACTTACAAAATCCAAAAGTTTCAAAAGGAGATTGCCAACTCCCTGGTGGAATGATATTTGCGAACAAAGTGTCATTGCATCTTATAATGCTTTAAAATTATATAGAAATGTACCATCCATGGAGAATTATATTAATTATAAAAGAAAGGATGCACAGAAAAAAAGAACGATAGCAGAGCAGAAAAAAATTGGTTGGAATAATCTAACTAATACTTTCAGCAGAACAACACCCATTAGTAAGATTTGGAATTTACTTAAAATGTTTAAAGGTGTTAAAACTGGCAATAGGTCATATAGAGATGAATTTATTCCTTCATTTTTGGATAACTTAACAGATAATAGTAATTTAAGTGAAACTAGTAACTTAAATATTTACTTTAATTTAAATAATAACAATCAAAATTCTAAATTTTTACTTGAACCGTTTACATGGACAGAGTTTACAATAAGCTTACAATCTAGACGTAATACAACACCTGGTATGGATGACTACCCTTACCTATTGATTAAAAATCTGAATGAATCAGCTCAAAAATTATTTCTAGATATCCTAAATTTACTTTGGTTTAAAAACTGCATTCCACAGGCATGGAAAACACAGTGTGTTATTCCAATCCTCAAACCAGACAAAGAACCCGAACTTGCTAGCTCATATAGACCAATCTCCTTATCTTCATGTCTTGGCAAACTTTTTGAGACAATGTTAAAAGTCCGTCTTGACTGGTATGTTGAGGCTAATAACATCATTCCCAATGTTCAGTATGGCTTTAGACGAGGGTGCAGCTGTGCCGATAGTTTCATCTCTTTAATATCTGATCTGAAACATGGAAAGGAAAAAAACTTACATACTGTTTGTATATTTCTTGATGTTCAAGGTGCCTTTGACAGTATAGATCCTGGTATACTTGTGAAAGTTATGTCAGGGCTAGGAATACCTGGACGACTCTGCAAATGGATATATGACTTCCTGAATGAAAGGACAGTTTATGTAAAATACAATAATTTGTTATATGGTCCAAAAACTGCTTCAAAAGGCACAATGCAAGGTGCTACCTTATCCCCATTATTGTATAATATTTACACTAGTGAAATTTGTAAATTTATAGACACTGTAAATAATAATGTAAATATTTTACAATTTGCTGATGATATTGTTTTGTACAGTAGTAGCTATAATTTGCAATTAGCAATAGATAGTATTAATGTAGCTTTATCCCAATTATTCCATTATTACAATGACATTTTACATTTAAAAATTAACCCATCCAAGAGCAATGTTATGATAATAAGCAAGGATACACCAATGTATAATGTAATTTATAATGGAGAAATTGTAAACAAGGTTCCCAGCAAAAAGTTTTTAGGAATAATAATAGATCAGAAATTAAATTTTGAATCACATATTAATCATATTTCTAAAAATGCCTTAAGAGGTTTAAATGTTATGAAATGTCTTGCAGGAGTGTCATGGGGTGCAGACCCCAAAATACTGTCTTTAATATACAAATCAATTGTCAGAAGTCACTTTGATTATAGCTCTCTAGCTTATTTGAATAGTCCACATGTAAATAAACTTGACAAAATACAGAACAAAGCTTTGAGAATAATATCTGGTGCAATGTGCTCAACTCCCATAAGGGCCATGGAAGTTGAGACTAAAGTTATGCCATTAATCTTGAGACGACTCCTACTTGCTCACAGATACTGCCTCAAATTACTATCTTCTAATAATATTCA